AATTTCTTTGGCAATTGGATCAAAAATGGTCCACTGGCCGGCATCTTGTTTTTTTTTTAAATGTGGTATCTTGGACATGCTTTGTCAATTTTCATTCAAATTTGGCACATACTTTATACATGTTACGATACATGTCCATGACAATTTGTTTCAAAGATGGCTGATTGACAGCCATCTGACTTTTTGGCCTTACTACAGGGGTTTTTCTAGAAAAAATGAAAAGAGGGAGCACACACAGGCGAGGCAGTGGAGCGACCAAGCTAGCACAGAAACAGTATGGCGGATCAACCTGTAAACACCATATTGGAAGGTTTCTGTACCCTTTTATTGGTGTATCTATCGCCATTGAAATATTTTTACGTAATTTCAGTGTATTTGGTGTCCAGACACATTGTCAGCTGGTGTTGCTGGGAAGTTTTCACGGAGAGAAAAATATTGGAAAAAGATTTCATGTTGTACGGCAGCACGGAAGTATATAAATATAAATATAGAAATATATTTATGACTTTAAAGTTCAATCGGCAATTCGGTAAGAGGGCACCAGCCAAGAGTATCAGAGAATCAGATCAAAGATGGCCGAATAACAGCTGTTTATTTTTGACCATATTACTATATCTCTGTCACCCATGTATCATTTTCATTGATATTTAGCATGTCATAAATGGATACATGTACATGTTAATTCAATTTGCAATTTGATCAAATATGGTCGACTGGCGGCCATCTTCTTTGTTTAAAATGTGATAACTTGAACATGCTTTCACTTGTGATCTATTTTAACTTTGCTATGTCTTAAACTGGAGGGGTCGTCGTGCAACACATGTTCGAATTTGATGTAAATAAACAATTTATTGTATACGCCACTTGGGACTCAAGTTTCAAGGACATGCTCGCGACAACCCCTCTGCTTTAATATGACGAGCACAAAGAAAACTTTCAAAAATTTAACGGGGACTGTGTCATTTTCAATGACTTGTTTTTGATTATTTTTTAGCACAAAAATGGTGGCCACTTGGCCATTTTGAATCAGATAGTCAAACAAATATATTTGTACATCTATGACATAATCAGTCAAAACATGTGAGAGATATAATAGCTTTAGAACTGCATACATTAAAAGAAAATGGCTGCCAGTCAGCCATTTTGAATCCAATCTGAAAAAACAAAATGATGTGCATCAAGGTCCCATAATGTCCAACGTGTGTACCAAGTTTGAACAAAATCCATCGATAAATGCTTGATTTTAATAATTTTCAGTACAAAAATGACTGCCATCTTGAATCAGATCGTGAAACAAATTGATATAATAATATTAAGTATGATGTCTGTGAGAAGGCAAGTCTAAGATGTAGGTCAGGGTGGACGTACAGAGATCAAACCATAAGTGCTCGTTTTCGGACTGCCTTCGAACAGGGACTAATAAGGTTATTACGAGGATACCTCAAAGTATGCACTCAGACAGTACACCATCGCATCAATACTGTCGCT